ATTTTATAGGCCATTTTTTGTCGCTTGTCGGAGTGGATTATATTATATATGTTCGAAACCATCATATTATAACGGCCGTCTTACAACGACAGTCCGTATAAATGGATATTCGCGAGATTTCGGGTTGGGCACAGTTTGTTGCATGCAGGTATATACACACATTGTTTTTTTATTTTTAAATTTAAATTACGTTTTCCATTCCGATCTATTCGTCTCGTCTGTATATAATGTAGATATACGCGACAAACGATTTGTCAAACTCGACGAAATATACTGTCCGTTGTTATGCGTCTCCCGTTTGGTTTTGACCGCTTTCGTACATATACATATATAAAGTATAATACATGGCCTATGAAACAGTCGACACTGTAGTATACGGATAGGGTAAAAATATCATTGGACATTTGTACAATCGAGACTTGTATGTGTATTCGGTGAGGGCATTGAAAACGATTATTTGGTGATAGTAACATGCTGAAAACGATTTTATATTCTTCGTAAAGTTTATTACCTACATCGATTTTTATGAATAGGAGTTTCCGGCAACGTGACCTAGAATCGTCGAATAAGTCGATTTGTAGGTAGTCTGTTTGAGAAATACTCTAGTATTTAAATATTGTTTAGCCTTGTCAATTTTTAGTAGAAAAAAACAATTTGAATTAAGCGCTAAACTTCATCCGGGACCAAAAGCCAAATTAAAATATAAAATCTGTGAAATATACAAAAATTATAGATAGTATTGGTATTCGTAGTGTTTTATTGTTATATTCAATAGTTTTATTACGTGGCTTCGCCCGTAGACAGGTGTGTAATGTAAAATATTTGTAATATTATTTTATATAGGCTTCTTCGGCTTCCTCGAGATAACGGTTGAAACTTGTATTATGTAATTATAATGTAAATTTGTAGCTAATATTTTTTTCATTCATTAATGTACTTTTTAGATTCTGAATGGATCGAAGAAACTTATATTGTTACAAAAATGGTTATTTTTTTTTTCTGCGAACAACTTGTTTATCAGAGATCTTGTTCCGATTTTTAAGTGTAGCACTTTTTCTGAAAGGAAATCGGTGTGAGAGGACACGGCCGTCATCTCTAAGAAGTTTAAAAATTCTACGAGTAAGAAGTACTATTATCACTGGTCATAAATGTTTCCACAGATGTACACATATATGTCTTCGATGACCCAGCTACCACGTCCGATATTATTTGGTTTATTTTTATTGACACAGTTGTTCCTCGGCGATAGCATGACCCTTTCGCATGCTAGTTTTTTATTGGTTACTAATCAAATCTAGAAAAACCGTGGTCAATCAGATTATCTTCTGCCACTGGGTAACACAATTCGTGATTGAATTGAATTTTTCCGCCTGCGTCTGTCTCTAGGCAACTTTCCCCAACTTGTAGAAGCTTACTTGCATAAACACCTGAGCCCTGGTCATTGTGTAAATGGACCCACACGTCACATGTAAGCGAGAGCCTCCCAACTTTTGACCAAAATTGCGACGCTTTAAAATATGCGTTTATTTCATCTGCTGTAATACCCTCCTCAGTGAATGACTGGTGGAGTCCGTTTAAAAACACCAGCGAGCATAACTACTGCACCGCCCAATCTGGTTACCGCAAACTGCGGTTCAACGCCTCTACTGCATGCTTGTTCGACATAGTGCACTCGTCCTACACCATCAATTTACACTGCTGAAACAGAGCGCCACGCCCATTGCTCTTGATAATGTTGCATATTGGTGTTTGTACAGTGGCAAGATTTAATGGTAATTTCAACACTGAATGTGCAGTGCGGCCACCATTAAACAACGTTACAGTTATTCCCGTGAAAAGGTTCTTTTTTCCTACGGGATGGTGATAATTGCAGTAATATTATTGTCGCTCTAAAACGACAAAATCGCACAGGCGAAACGATGAGTACACACCGCGTTCACGCAGCCCACTCGGTATATCTCAATTACTTTTTATTTATTATTTATTTTGTTGTTTTCATTTGACAGCCCTTTAACGCTCTAAGCACGCGTTATTTTAATTTTATTTATGCCTACCAGACCCTTATACCTTTAATTAGGTACAAAGGTACGTATACGCACGGATATAATTAATCAACAGAATTCAACGTGCAGCATTTGAGCTTATTTATGTTAATTATTTACAGTTTTCGCGCGCTATGTAGTATAATAAAATTAATTTATATACGCCGCCGCGCCGGCCGCCACGTCACGCCACACCGTTACGTTTTAATATACCGTTTTTGTAGCAGAGATTTGTTTTTTTTGTTTTTATTTTTTTTTTTTTGTTTTTTTTGTTTTTTTTTTTTGTAATTAATTAACTTGCCATTATAATACCTAGGAAAGTATATATTATATTGGTTCAATCTTGCGAAATTACAAAGAGGCACGTACATGTGTGTACGACGGATACGGTCGTGCGTGGCCCCAAAATAAACGAAACGTCGAAAATTTAATTACCAAAAAGTATGTACGTAGATACAGGCTATAATATATTTTCCGTGGACGTTATATTATATTCCAGACTTCTGCCCCGGGAATAATTTTACAATATGTACGCGTGCGGTGAATTGCTATAAACGTGTATAGCCGTATAGGTATGTATATTTTTCAGAGTCGGGTAAAATACTTTTTAAACATATTTAAAATGAAAAATATTCTATTGCATATAAAAATTGTGATTCAGAATATGTATTCGAATCTACAATATTTAAAATATGGCCGTGGATGGTATTAAGAATATTTTAGAAATAAAAGTATACACCAAAAAAGAGTACACCAATAACATTGATTTTATAAAATACTAATACGAAATCAATGGTAATATTATTTCAAAACAATTCCGGTATAGGCACAGATAAAGAATAACACAATAATCTTCGGGTAACTGGGTAGGTATTTACGGATTATTACAAAAACCGTTGGGAGTTTGCTTATTTGCCCGCATCAGCGTCGTGATGAACTTAAAAACGATGATTAATATAAAAATGTTATCGATCATTGACAGACAATTAATGTCCAATTAGTATCTGTTCCAAAAATTAATTATCCATTTTATGCGTGTTCCAATACTTATTTTTCTCAAACATTATATTTCTAATAAATATATGTTTATTAAATATTTTTTTCTAAAAGTTATGTGTTTTCAAAATGTATAGTACATTATATATTTGCTCTGGAATTTAATTTTCCATTAAATGTATGTTCCATTCCATGACTGGTTCCAAAATTGTTTTTTTCTGATTGTAGTTTATTCCATACAATGGTATTCCAAAAAATATCATTTTATAAAACTAATTTTTCCATTATTCAATATTCATTTTTATCTTTCAACGGGATGATTTTACAAGAAAAGAATGTTCAATTCTAAATAATTCCTAGCATCGATAGGCCATCCAACTATATCCATAATTTAGCAAAAAAGGTTTCTAGGCGTGACGTGCCGTAAATATTTGCCGTTTTACACTTTTACCTATAAATTTGAATCCGGGTTTGCCCGATTATTAAGAAAACCCATTAGAAAATTACATTTTCTTTCAGAAAAGGCGCTACACTCGGCTTATCGGAGCAAGTTTTCTTTTCGAAAAATTGTTCGCAGACAGACAAAAATCACATAAAACACATAAAAACACAGTAAAACTAATAGATCCCTCATTAGGCTCCAAATCAAAAGGGCAATATAATAATATTAGAATCTAAAATACATGGCCGTCCGACCCTCCTCCCATATCGTATTTTTGTATGTATACATTGAAGAAAAACTAATGGAAATTCACCATATTCATCGATCGGCAGAGTTATATAATATAATGGTTATAAAATATAATTTAATATAGTATTCGATTAACGGGATTTTTATTACTCTTCTGCACATATTATATGGTTTTCAGTTTTTCGAATATTATTTTAAAATGCCAAACCACGCGTGTTATTAATCTGTTTTAAATTATCGTGGTGCGTATAGCAATGTGTGGTTTATGTTTATTAAACCGCACACGCACAGACTCGTGATTTTTACTTAATGCAATTTATATTGTAATCGTTTTTGAACGATTGAATAAAATATATTATTATACAGACTCTTCAATTGTCAAGTAATGTAAAATTAACCTTCAATACGAACCCGATAAATATGGGTATAATAATTCACTGAAACACAAAGCTGAACATGGATGAATTAAAAAATAAAAAGTTACGTTAGTTTTAAATTTTAACATTTGATTTTTTTTTTCAGCTTGACTAATTTTTTTTTACGTTATATCAATAGATAACAATATGCACGTATCAACAACACATTTTTTTTGTTGTACTTTGTAATGATGTGTGTGGAGTGTCGGGTTTGAATAATAAGTATAATTCGATATTATCGATATAATTTCCTGGTGTGTTTCAGACTGGTCATTATTATTTTCAAAAAAAAATAAATAAAAACCGTTGCCAATGACAACTTTATTTTTAATCTTTCAATCTTTTTTATCCTAAATACCGAGGTTTTCTTCATTATCTTGAATATTAAGAAGAATTTTAAAAATGACCTCTTAAAAAGTACTATACAAAGAACATTTACTTTCAGAAAAGGTGCTATACTTGACATCGGAGTATGCTTTATAATATAGTTGTGTTAATATAGTTGTAATTAGTTATGACTTTATAAAAAATAATACAAAATCAAGAAACAGCTAAAATAATAATAAAAAAAAATTTTTTAAATATTTCAAATAGTTTGATAAATTTAAATAGAATATTTTATATTCATAACTCTTGTTACTTATAGTTAGTATAATTATTTAAGACAACGATTATTTCTTAATCTGTTGATATATTGTACAAATGCATTAAAACAGTACAATTTAAAAGTTAAGTTTATTTTTTTCACTTTAAATAAATAATAATTACAATAATGATAAAATGAATAACAAAAATAATAATAATAGTAATTAATAAAAGTTAGATGAGCAAATCTAAAATACTTTTATTTTAAACAACGTTTCGCAAGCGGTTTTATCAACAATATTTTCAATGCCTATTAATGTTTTCGTTTCAATGGATATTTAAAAGTAATATGCTAGTTAGCCTATGTTCAAAAAATGTGTTTTTTCACAAAGCACGACCTGAAATGAACGTCATGTTGAATTCTCAAGCATTTCTGTTTGGACTAACATTTTTATCTACAGAGTACCTACCAAATAAAAATTACGTACAAAACTCGCCAAATTAAATTGTCTATAAATGGCTCAACAATTTTACTATGTCAAGAAAAGATAAATAAAAGTTTTCTATTCAAATATATAGTCTCTACGAATATTTTTAAATGAATAACAACAAAATACAAAATTGAAAATAATAAATGCATTACTTTCGTAAATTTTCCTGTTTTTTTTAAGTTTTATTCTGTGTTTTCCTAAAATGAAAATTGCACGGAAAATCAAAAAAAAAATGACCTCTCTATCCTAAGTCTCATCTAGTCAATTTTGACAATATTTTCTTTCAAAGTATGTGCTACACTTAAATATTGAAGCAAGATTTCTGGTAGAAATTTCGTAACAGTTTATATAAAAAAAAAACATTGTAAATCCAATCTTTGCTACACTCAGAATCTAAAATTTAAATTAAATTAATCATTTCCAATTTTAATTCTAAAACTATATTGTTTTATTATATCTTTCCAAATTGATTGTTTCCACTTAGTTTTCCATAATTTAATCTCACCCTTCAGAAAATATTTATTGAAATTTATAAATGAGAAGTGTTTCATTCTTGTTTTAACCAAAGTATTTCCAAGATCCGGAATCATCTTTCTGGGATTTGAAACCTGTTTCATTTGTACTTATTTGTATTTAAGAATTATGGATAGTTTGTATAACAAAAAAGAACATCACACGGTTTTTGGGAGAGAGGGCGGTCATCTCCCTCGCCCCCCTCAGAGACGAGCAAAGCGTCCGAAAAAATTATTGATATTTACCGATGGTTTGACTTTCCTCTGGTCCTTCCGGGTGTTCTTTGTTCTTCATTACCCCATTCTATTCTAACTTTCCTTGTTTCTTCTATTTCCATGGTGTGTATTAACTTTTAAACTGTTAATCTTCTACATAAATTATTATAAGGGGCACCCCGTGGCGTAGTCGGAGCTAAATCAAAAAAGGGGTGGTTTAAAAATAATAGTACATCACGGGTATAAATACTGTTGTATATTATTACCTACATGCTATAGCCGTGATTAAAACATAACCGCTTAAAAATTCCAAAGGAGGAAATTCCATGGCTAAATGATCCTCCCCACAGCAACGCAATTGGGAACACCTTCATCATTTATCGTACGTCTACATTTCTAAAAAGTCTCCGAACACTATCAATTTTTCGCATTTCCAAAAAATAGTCTATATAATATTTTTAAAGCTCCTTATTTTCATAGCATGTATAGTATATACAAGTCGAAATTTAACTTAATGGTTTTTAATGTAATAATGGACTCACCCCAAAACATTAAAAATATGTATGCATTTATAATGGAATTCCGTTTTAGGTGCTGCCATCTAGCGAATGTTAAATGAATGTGGCTTATATGCTAAGTCCATTATAAATTGAATCGTATAATGTAAGGTTGATATTACAGTCATTTCCTAAAATATAAAAATGTGTGTCCTAATACATTATTACCATGAAGGCCTCTTTTAAATCTTTATTATTTGTTTAATATTCTAAGTTGAGCACGAGATGTATTAGTTTTACAATTTTGTTTATTTTTTTATTTTATTATTCTGTGTACAATTTTTCTATCACAAATTATGCTTTGATTGTGAGGTGTAGCACTTTTTCTGAAAAGAAATCTGACTGGAGTAGTACTTTAGGGAGGTCATTTTTTTAATTTTAAAATAGTTTTCGTAATAATTAGGAAAAACCAAAAATAAATGTAGAAATAATGGGAATATTGAAGAAATGTATTATTTTCAAATAGTATAAATTACGGCCTTTCAAAGTGAGTAAAAACGAACATCTCTCAGATTAGTTTTTTTTAGCAATAATTAAACTTTGCGTACATATATACATTCAATTTCCTCTCTACCTTCTCAACTTCTCACCAATAACAGTGACCCATCCATCGTTGGAAGTATTTTTTTTTTATAGGTGTAGTTTGGTTTTAGAGGTGTAAGTTTATAATAAATTGTTAAATTTAATACGGATATAATATTGCATGTGAAATAAAACTAGCATGTAAAGTAACGAAAATTAGACTTCCAATGGCCATCTCATGCTAATAGTTCAGTCAATATTCATATATTTTTTTTCTATCAGGTTTTTTTCTTATCGAGCAGACACAACACACATATCTAGAAAAAAATGAAATTTATATTTGCATTGCTTAAACTTTCTCTGATGCATGGAGCGTACCACATCGTCTTAAAGAAAATGTTATGCATTAAGAAGGTCAATTTTTGAATTTCTTAGGAGTTTTTAAAATAATTAAAAAAACCTATTGAAAATTGTAAGTAAAATGGAAAAATATTTATGGTGTTCAGCTGCATTACCGAATTCATTGTTTTTAATATTTGTAAGTTATTAAGTTTTCTACCAGAAATATTACTCCATTTGAATAATGACAGGAGATATAATTTGTTTCTTTTGATATTTAAAATAGCAGACCACCTACAGTAAGTACTGCAACCCAGTGGTTTTGCCCATAGGTTTGGAAGACAGGCATATTGGAAGAGTGTGCCAGATTCTATTAATTATAAATTCTATTAATGCGCGAACCCAGAGAAATAACCTGAAAGGTAACGCGTGTGAAGCCTTTATGATTTCCGCGATCCCCAACTCTAGTAACTACAACTTGATCTCCACAATAGCTTAAAGTGAGGCACCACTATGTAAAAGACATGTGTAATTATTGTTGCGAGTTAAGGTGTGGCGCATTAAGAGGGCAACACTTATATTATTAATGATGTAACTGGTAATTACACTATGTCACATTCAATTGTTTATTTTTAATATTAAATATTCAAGGTATTACAATTGAATAGTTACTATTCCAAAAAAGAATTAAATATAACATCATTAACGATTTTTGTATAATTTAAACAATATTTTTGAAGTTTAAATTTCATAAATAGTTAATATAATTGTTTATTTTTAACACATATCCATATGAACGGTTTGCTTATACTTCCTATGCTTCTACTGGCCGTGTATACAATCGTTTTCCTTCAATACGTACCACGCAGTAATAATTCAGACTTTTTTCTAGTCCATAGCGGTTTTCTGTTTTCAGTAAATAATTATTACCATTAATTGATTTATAAATGTACATTTTTATTTATATATGAGTATATTATTTTAATAAAAACAAAAAAAAAATGCTTTTCATTATTATTTTTACGGAATTTTTTTTAAAAAAAGAAAAAAGCCGTTAAAGAAATATACTATATACGTAATGTACTGTAATAATCTAAATTAAAAGCTTTGAGTACAGTAATTAAGCCTCTGTAATTCATAATTCCAACTCCTCGTAATCACCCAAAATTGAAATTTTAGTTAAAATGTTTACTTTACTTACCTAAATATTTTTCAGCACATTCTAAAAGATACTTCATGTAAGGCTTCGCATACACTAAACAAAAAAGTAATATTTCATATATGTATAACATAAATCTGTATTTATGATGACACCCTTGAGGGACGACAGATGGATAGGGAAATAATTCGGACTTGATTCTGTCTAAATTTACCCATTTCCAGCGATAAATGAAAAATAATTGAACAAGGATATAAAAAGGTCACTAAAACCTGATGCTTTCAAAATAACAATTTAGACCTTACGGTAAACCGAGTCAAAAACCGCAGCAAAGTCCACATAAATTACCTCCATTAATTTACCTTCACCAAAAGCATTAAGAATGTAGTATAAATAACAATAGTTACATGTAGTATTAGAAAGGCCCGGATAAAATCCGGGATGTTTATTGATTAAAATTGGGTTGACTAAGGACCGAATAAGACGAAAGATTCAAGTATTTTTGAAATATAGCTCAGAATATGGATTTGTAAGTTATCAGAAAGGGNTTGAACGTAGATAACAATTTTTATCTTGTTTTCAGAGACTCTCATTGGAAGAGAAGATGCAATTGTTCGGTAAATAAAATCAAAGGAAAGTATTTTTAAAGACAGCAAGTTAACATCAATCAGGTTGGAAGAGTATTACTTCGGTGAAAAATGTTCAAAAAACAGGTTAAGGATCTCTTGTTCGTATGAGCTAGTGACAGAGTCAAGAGAAATCGAATTGCGATTTTCGTTTACGGAATTCCAGATCTTTTTAGGATCTTTATATAGAACAGTAAAAGAAAAGTATGAACAACTAATTAATAACCTAAAGGTACCAATAGAAAACTTACAAACTAGTGTTCGACATTCATTTTGGGTATAATAGTGTATTGATTAAAATGTTTTAAATTGTTAAAAATGTTCTAGCTCTCTGCACTTTGTGAAGCATGATAACAAACATGATAAACATTTTATAATTACCATCTAAATCATTGAACATTTGGTTCAATACTTTTAATTGTTTATCTATATCCTCAAAAGTTTCCGGATTCTTTATACTATATATGAATCCTAGAAAAAAAAAAAATTTAAGATTGATTTTACAATAATGTTTTATTCTTTTCTATCTTGCTCTACTGGCTACAGTTGTTACACCCATACATAGTATTAACTCTTGTTTTTCTAATTTTTTTTTTTCACTATAATTTAGAGCAAAGTTATCGTAGTCTGGAAATTTCTACACAAAACTTAACTTTAATTTTCCTAGACGTTTTAAAATTTTCAAAATATTTAAGCTATTTTTGAGGTATTTATAGAGATTTCAATATTCAGAGTATTTAGTTAAATTTTTTTTGGTAGAAAATCAGTTGGCGAAATTGTAAGACTAAAACAGAAATAATTACAATTTGTTTGAATAAAAATCGTAAATATTACAACCTTTCAAAGCATATAGCATCGTCGCTTTTAGGTTTAAATTAAATAACTTTATACAAGAGAGATGCATCGTCCCTAATATCAGCTCTTTTATTATTTAAAACTACCTATTACGTCATAGTAAAATGTAATCTGAAACTAAATGATAAATATAAATAATAAAATAAGTTCATTACTTTGTGTATCTATATAATATATATTATAATATTTCACAATATAATATAACTAAGTGAGTTCTTTAAAAAAATTCTAAAAGTTAGAACTTACGTAACCTTGCGTTGATAAACAATTCTCTTTCAACTGAAAAATATAATTGACACTTTTAACACTTTAATGTGATTTTAACTTGTATTACTTTTGTTATCGACACTTCGGAAGACCAAAACTATTTTCAAAATAGAAATAAGCAACCCCAAAAGTGGTATAATACACATCACTCTACATTTTATTCTGGAGTAGGTCTTGTAACATGTATTATACGAGGGTTGTCCCAAAAGTAATGCACAATTTGCTCTGAATAAATAAGTTTTTATGTTAAACTAAATACAATATTATAGACCTTCGATATACTCTCCCTGCTTGTCTATACACGATTGCCATCGTTTCGGAGGCGCTTGAATGTCGCATAGGACGCCATCTTTGTTGAGTTCACGGATCCTTCGGCTCACTTCTTCATTTAGTACATCTAAGTTGGGAAAACGGATCCCTCTAAGTGGTTCCTTTAGTTTTGGAAATAAATCAAAGTCCGGGGGACTTAAATCCGGCGAATACGGTGGGTGTTTGAGGCGTTCCCATCCATATTTCTCCAAAATAGCGACGACTGGTGCTCCGATATGCGGCCGCGAATTATCGTGCAATATGGACACACCATTTTGTAACATTCCTGGTCGCTTTTTACGGATTTCTGGTCGCAATTTTTCGGCAAGGAATGTTTTGTAGTAATTCCCGGTTACACTACTGCCAATTGGAACTCGATCAGTGACAATTATCCCAAGTTTATCGTAAGCAAAAATCATCATTTGTTTCACCTTTGTTTGCTGGCGACGAACTTTTTTTGCTCTTGGTGATGTTATTCCCTTCCAAATATTGCTTTGAGATTTTAATTCCGGCTCAAAATCACGGATCCAAGTCTCATCTATTGCAATTATACGATCAAGAAACGTTTCTTTTTCATTTTCGTAGCGAGAAAGGAGTTCACGGCAGATGTCTTTGCGTGTATCCTTCTGTTCCGGTGACAGAAAATGAGGCACCCAACGTGCTGCAATCTTTCGTTTCTGTAGAATTTCCGTTAAAATGCGGTGAACACTTGATTTTGAAATACCTGTTTCATTCTCTATCTCTCTCACCGTTATTCGTCGGTCTTCATCGAGTAGAGTTGCGAGAATAGCCGCGTTAGTGTTGTCTTGAGTAACCGTAGAGGGTCGGCCAGAGCGAGGGTTGTTATCAATACTTATACGNAAAAATCTAAACACACAGAGATATGTACGAAATATATTATTAAAATATAAGTCATATTTTTTTTCTGTTGACAACCATTTTCCCAGTTATTTAAAATGATAGCAATTTTTCTAAAATTAACTCTCACTGTGAAGGTACTCCTTAAAGTACCCAGATAGTAGTTTTTTGATTTTCTAAAAAGTTTTCTCATCAAATGCTAATCATTGTCAACTATACTCAGATCAGAATCGTTTATTCGTTAAGCAAATATTTATCGTTGCCTACATATATACATTAAATTACCTATTACAATAGCTGCACCCATCCATATTATCTTTGGAGGGCTTTTTAATTTTTTTTTTAAGTTACAAATTATGTAAATTTCAATGAGAACATTATTATGGAACATTGTGGTCTTTCGAAGGCTATGAGTTATGAGAACTACATCCATATATATTTGGGTTTCATAACAGATAGCAAGCATGTGTTTTATTCTATTTTACATGGCCATACAAATGGGTTTAGTCTGTCAATGTTTTTAGGAGTAAACATAAGGATTCTTTCATATGGGTCTTGTCAGTATGCTCGTATGTTAATAAACATTAGTGCGCGGATTTTGTATTGCCTTTTAGTCAAATCATCATACCTGTCTATAATACTTTAGTTGTTATTTTTAAAATAGTAATTTTACAAAATAGATAGTCGTTATATCGAAGAATAAAATCTGGTAAACATGAGAATATTGTATATTGTATACCTACACCTGTACTTATTTATGATCATGGTACATGAAGGGAAATTGTAACGAATTTTCTTTACTTACCGTAATTCAAATATAGCCATACAAAAGATGATAATCCACTGCGCTTCACCACTATAAAAAAAAAAATGTTGTGACTACACAATCGAGCTGTGGGGTTAAAATATTGTACAAATTAGGTGTATTTAAATTTATATATTAAATAATTATTATTTATTATTAAATTAAATTGAAATATTGTTTATAAATAACAGTTGTTATAATAATAATTATAAAGATTTATTTGTCTGACAAATAGACGTAGTCGATTATTCTAGTTCATATATTGGTAAATAAGTATTGTAAGCCATTATTATCATTGGTAGACTCACTATCTGTTCTACTTTTCTACCTAAACCTCCGAACCATAAAAAATGGACAGTCTTACAAAAAATTGTAGAACCTAACTTTAAATTTCATTGAAATTTTATTATTACATAAACCATCTGACGCTTCAGTTAATTTTATCCCACTATACTTAAAATTAAATTCCACAAACTTATCAAAGCTATATATATTTTTTTTTTTTTAAATAATTCTATGTACTTCATACTTTTATACACATGAATAACGACACCGCTTACTTCCGTTATCTTTCTTATCTTATTCCTTTAAACTCATACTTAGTTTTGATTATACCTATCATTAATCTGTTTCCTTCGTGTATTACTTGGCATTATACATGACTATATTGAACTTATTACTGATTATTTTTATCAAAGATACATCATGTGCTAACAATGTGTATCATGCACTTTAATTCACAATAAAAACAAAAACTTATGAATTAGAAAAATATTCAAATACAAATACTTACATGAAAAACCAAGGTATTTTATATTGTCTGTTAAAAAAATAACAGCAATAATTAAAAGGTGTATTTTAAAACTCTTTAATTATTTGGTACTCAATTAAAATCATTAATGGTAAGGATTTCTACACAATTTTTTAAATTCCTCATTTAATTGAAAACCAAGAACATGATTTCCGAACATGACAATTGTTTATGTTGATGTTGTTAATTTAGGGGAAGTAATTAAAACCCAATACGGTCACAAATCATAAGATACAATATCATTTTCAGCCATCTCCGTGTTACTGAAATATTGACATCTAGCAACCTGAAGTCTAAAATTGTACTTTGTCTGCAATCTTTTTCTTGACAATCCACTGAGTCTCTTAGAAATTGGTCTCCGTAAAGTTATTTAAAGAATAAGCCCATCTTATTTCTACACATATCGAGGCCGACTTAATCGACTGTTTGACTGTTCGACTCATTGTTTCTATATATTTCATATTCATTATCGTTATTTCATATTAGACTATTCATTAATTTCAATAAGTATTTTTCTTTAAAAATATTATGGGTATAAAATGACGTTTGTGTATACACTTACCTAATACTGGTAATCACCAAATAAGTTGTTAGCAGACGCAAAAAATTGTCTTACCTTGACATCGGTTAACTAAAAAAGAATGAACAATAATTTTAAAAAAGTATTTACTTCCAAGAGTATATCAATGTGTAGGTAGAACTGGTATAAGTTATAATATAATTTATACACATTAATTATTAATAAATTATTGTTAATTTACGGCATTTAAAAACAAGTTTAACCGAACCTCAAACTTCACATTCGTTCATTATACATAAGTGTTTGAATATACTATACCCACTACTTGTGTACACTTTTTATGGCTCCATCCGTACTAAATTATCCCAAACTCGAGAATCGTTTTTTTTTTTTAAACGAAATCGAAATAATAACATTCGGAATTATTTCAGCATTGCTGTGAAAAGAGGGTTTTTTTTAGTTTTGTACAGATCATACAAAATTAGAATTATACCATGGATATATGTTCGGAGCATATTGGTGTTAGTATCCAGGATATGTGTGTTGGAAGTGGCAATTTTTAATTCCTGCTCCTACCATTTAATTTCCTATATTTCATTCATTGCTCATATCTCATAAAAAGATGTATATTTGGTGTACGAAATACGAAAAAACTGCCTTGGTTGATGTACAAAGGTTTGTGTCGTTAACAAATAATATTTCAAATTCGATAAATACAATTCATCTCACTAACTTTCATCATCAGATCCAAAAGCGGTTGTGCACCATTCCTTAAAAGTTTTGAATTCATCTGTAGCTAGAAAAATTAAACGGGTTACTATATTATCTTGTATGAAATATTATAATCAAAACATAAGTTTTTAAGAAAATATAATATTATACATATTTTCATTGTCAAAATCCATAATCTATACTTACTTACATATCAACAGTTATTAACATAGTGACAGTGAATTGGACAAATAAAAATTCAAAAACAATTTTTATTGATATTTTTATACAGTTAAGCTAATTAAGGTTTTATGTCAGGCTCAATAAGTCGACGTATATATAGAATTCGGTATGTTCAATAACCCAGGAATTCTATAACCCAAAATTGGTATTAAAACACTAACGCTAAAATTTTGCTAAAAAATTTATAATGTTATTAACCAGGGTATACGAATAATGTGTGAAAATCGTCGCCTATCTGTTAAAATCTACGTTCCGTAGTATTACTATTTATATGTTTACAACAATACTTACTCTTAAACATTTCATGGCTAATAAGAGACATAAAATATTCCAATGCGTAATCTGAAAAATATAGTAATTCAGATGCTGTTCTGTTTGTGGTTACAATGTATAAATTGAATTCATTTAAATAATTTATTTATTTTAAAATAATTAAACAAAAAAAAAAAAAAAAAATGATTTAATGAACGCTATTTTTTTTACAACAACGCAACGAATTACAAAATTTGTTTTAAAAATTTTTGTACTGCTGTCTCTTTTTTTTTTTTTTGATTTTGAACGAGTTCAAATAGTTTAAAAGCCATGTTCAATGAATATACGATTCCAATCAAATGCTCCTTAATATATAAAAAAAACAACTTACGGTATGACTTCAATGTATTGATGCCTGTAAGTTGGGTTGAAATACTATTATTACAATACAGATATAAAATATATATATAATGTATCATAGGTTACGATCGAATAAAATATTGATGAATTGATAAAAACCCAAACGATAAAATAAAACTTTTATTTTTTTGTGTACCGATCACCAATTTTTTCTTTGTAATTTTTTTAAAAATTTAATAGTTTGTTATTCTTCAAGTAATATATGTAAAAAAAAAAAAAAAAAAACGTAATCTTTTTTATTTCCGGAATTATAACAATATTAAATAATCTTTCTTATTTAATAGAAAATAATATCTCACAGAAATAATTATATTGTTTTATAAATTTGTTTCGAAATTTAGTCCATCCAGGAATTATATCCCACTTAAATATATAAATCAAGATTGTTTGAATATTATAAAATGTCAGATTTGCTTACTTAAAAACGTGTATCCGAATTTTAAATTTTGAATAGGATCTTCACCTAAAAATAAAAAATTCCCGCATTTCTATCAGTATACAAACAAAAAATACACACATGGTTATGAATTATGAAAAAATACTTATATGGTTTTATTAAGAACGACGTTAATTTAAAAACTTAAATAATATATAGTGTATAACATATATGTAAATATAATCTCAATTAATTCGCTGAAATTATAATAATAATGAAAGTCTAACCACCTATTTAAATACTCATATATATATATAGATTTAAAATTAATAAATTCAATAAAGAGCATTTCAAATTGAGCTGAAATGTTGTTTAAAATTATATGAAATTATATTATGTAAATAGGAAAGCTTTTTGAAATTCGTTGATTTATCACAAATTAAAAAATAAGTAAATTGGATGCTTAAGGAACCACAGGACTTAAACGTTACATATTACCTACTGTTTATAAGCTTTAATAAAAACCGTACACTTACTATGATAAAATAGTAATAATTGATCTACGGAAAACAAAATTTAAATGTATATTTTAACAGCCGTCCATAATGTAACATTGATAATGATTGTTTTGTTCGATAATTAAATTGTTTAAAGTAAAATATTTATATTGATATCCTACCGTTACATTCCTTTATTCTTTTCTCTATGGATAAAAAAATAAAGCGAATTACTATAACGTACATAATTTTATTCAATTTTATTAAATAAAGGAGTCAGACATAATTATTACTTGACTGAATATTCAATAATTATATTTCAAGTTACTTGTTTAAGAAATCAAACAAATGATAAAGTATGAATACTTATTTATCGTTTAATATATTTTTTCGTCAATCTTACACGTTTTTATTCGTGTATTTCGTCGAACAACGTGTTGATTAAGTGGTACTGCACAGAAGAATTTAAAGGGGATTTTAAAAATTCATTATTAAAATTTCACTTATATAAATCGATATGAACAACTCTATTTGGCATAATGTTTTTAAATTTATAAAGGTAAATACTTAGTACCTTTTCGTAGAATTTTTCGATCATAGTTTTATATTTCCCTCGATTTTGTGCATTATTTTCAGTATTTTATAACGGTAATCGATAGTAAATAGATTAATCAGACACAATTGTTTATAAAAAAATAATGTAATGAATAAAAAAATTCGGTTACAAGAAAATGGGACGAAATACTCATAGATAGAAATATATTGAAGAATATTAAATAAATTCGGCCCTGCGATAGTAGTCTATGAGCTCCGTGGCTCCATGGACACTTTTTTTATTAATTAAAGTCAATCATTTATTAAATTCTTAGTTCCATTTGTATACTTGAATTCAATATTATTTCGACCGCGCCAACGTATTATTTTAAACTTTAAAATTTTGAACTACTTATGAATCTGCATATTTTGTGTCGTAGTCAAAACGAGATTAGATGATGAAAGTCGGTATTTCGTCCGTTTTACTTGCACTATAATGTAGTATGTTTTTTTAATACCCAAGTAGCTTTTATAATTTCTTCCGCCATTACTTGTTACATATACACCATCCAAAAATACGCCAAATTGTGTCGGTATCTTGAAACTTACCATAAATATATGAGGGACAATTCCTTTTGGATTTTTTTTGGAATGCTTCATCAACAAATAACGAATACGATCTTTTTAGCTGATCTATCAAAAACAGTAAACGAAATAGCAACAAAAGCATCTTACATGGTCAGTTATCGTCTAGTTCAGGCTGGTAAAGCTCACACAATCTTTGAAACTTTCATTAAACCTTGTGTGACTGATATTGTTAGTTGAATGTTATATGTAAAGTCAGTTAAACAAATTAATACCATTTCACTTCCCAACGATATAGTTAGAAGCGTGGATTTAACGATGAATCATTTTACATAAAATGTGAATTAAAATATCCTCATAAATGTAATAACTTTTCTTTCCAAATGGACACATTTACTGAACTTGCTGGATTAGCTGTATTCGTTAGGTATAAATATTAAACTTTTGTTTAGGAAATACCTCTTATTATGTCCGACTTAATCCACTTATACTTATCCACTTATATATTCAAAATTGAAAAAATTGATTTCGGATAACTGTATTGATATTTTTACAGATGGGACGAAGGCAATGGTTGAAAAAACTGCTTGCGTGGTTTCGCGAATTAATGAATTAACAAAAATTTTAATAATACAAATTGCAAGCTGTCGCCGTAAAAAAATGCCAATAGCTCTTAAAATTGTCTTCGAGGACTGCCTAGTAAAGATGATAAATTTTGTAAAATCTCGAACATTGAGCACAATACTGTTTTCAATTTTGTATGAAGATATGAAGATAAAACACTTGTACGCTTACTTGAATTTGCGCAATGAATAGTTGGTTTTGTTCACTGAACACCTATTAAATTTACAATTCAAACTTATCGATAAAATTTGGTTATTTTGACTTAGTTATTTAGCTGATATTTGCATAAAATGAAATGAAGTAAAATTATCAATACAAGGTACAATTTCTACAATTTTCACCGCAAATGACGAAATATAAGCTTTTAAAAAACAAAAATTAAATTTTGGGCTGAAAGTTTTTCTCAACATAGAATGTATAAGTAGTTTTGCTTTGTTATATTAATATTAAAAATCGATTGATAATAATATTGAAGAATTTGATGAAATATATATTGAAGAACGTTTAAATGAAATATTATAGTCATCAGAAAAATATTTTTCAGATAATAAAGATAAAGAATTTGGGTTAAAAATCCATTTTTAATCAACGATAAGCCCGAAGACTAATCTATAACAGAATGCAAATTTTTTATTAAAATGACCACCGATTCGCCGTTAAAAACTTTATTTGATAAAATACTATTAATAGATTTTTGGTGCAGTAGCAGTAATATTAACGAATATCAATCTCTGGTTAAAAAAGCTTTCACTTCTTCTTTTGCCATAACATATCTGTGTAAATCTGAATTTTTTTCATATACAACAAAGAACAAAAAATATCTCATTTAATTAGATGTTAAAAAATCGCACTTAACTCTCGTTTATCAAACCAAATATTAAAATACTGGCCAATGAAAAAAACCAACATCATGGATCACATTACAATCAATACTTATTAAAATGTATAAATTACTAAAAAATTATGATATTCTTTTTTGCTACTCAATTAATTAAATAATTTCTATACATTCGTATTTAAACAAAAAAAATTAAAAATTAAAAAGCAATTCATTTACAGTTAAAATAATTTTTTTATGAATTATTATTGTCTCAAATAGACATTTCTGAATTTTCGGGCGCTAAAATATATTTTAGAAACATAAGGGCTCCGCGAACAAAAAAAGTATGAGAACTGCTGAAATATAAAATTAAAATGTCATAGAAAAATTATTAGTAGATTGATGTCTTCGATCATAAAACGCAGTACCTAAAAAGTACTAATATAGAGCCGCTATAGTAGAAGTAAATGACAGCTAAGACTAAGGATAAATTTTGTTTCTTTTTGTTGAAATTAAAAAAATTACATTTGAACGGAAATTATTAGTCATGATACCTGATATCGAGAAAGAAAATTTTCAGTCCAGAAATCAGTTCACCCCCATTTTTCCTTATTTATTTCAAATTATTTCTGTATGGTTTAATCAAATATTTTGTAATCAAATTTTTTAAAATTTTATTATTCGTATTTTATGAACAAAATTATAGATAGGGATAAATAATATTAATACATGATTGATAAATATCTCTCTATATGCACTTGAGTAATATTATTTTTTTTATGTATTCAGATTAAGGTATACTTACTGCTTTTTTCTATAGTGACTTCTAAAGCATTCAAATTATTATCTATGTTGGCAAAATTATTGGTATCGATGTAATTTTGCGTATCTAAATATTCAATAACAAAAAAATAATCTAAAAATATTATAGTAACGTTTTATTCTTTTACTATCGCTCGTAAATCAGAGATTCATACAAAACCACATTTTACAGGAAATTCAATAAGGATTTTATTTAGAGGATGGTGGAAATCATTTTAATTGAACATTATACTAGTTATTTAAATTAATTAGAGTCCAGGAGTTCTACAACGCAGTAAATAAAATGCGATACACCAAAAAGTCATTTTGTCGATTTTTTTTTACCCTATAGGTCGTAGTTTATAGACTCTCCTTCTCAACAAAAAATGCCTTTATTATGGTTCAAATTTTAGTATGTATTAAGTTCCTGTACAATTTATTATTAA